TTGTCTTTGGTAAATACTTGGTTTCATTTCTATCCTTGAAATTTCCGATATAAAATATGCCTTAAATGCACATTCTTTTTTTAATGAAATTGATTACTTCATTTTAAAAACATTTACATTTTTAAAACGTGGTAAATATTTGTAAAACCATTTCCAAGCAATGGCATCAATATGAATCTCAATGAGCCGTAGTAGTGATGAAGAAAACTATACAAAAATATTAATAAAAGAGGAAAAGAACTAAGAAGAACGCAAATTTTTGTTTTTAACTAATTTGTACATCGACCTTCCTGAGTCAAATACGTCCAATTTTGAGCGTTTAGTTGCGCTTACACCACGCTGCAGCACAGTAAAAGCCCAAAACATAAAAGAATACATTTGAATGCTTTGGAAATCATTACATTTGATACGGAACCACTATTTTATTTACAAAAAACACATTATATTTTCCAGTAGTACATATTTCTTTTTCATCAGTTTAAAAGGGAATAATCAATGCAGAGAGTGCAAACATTTCAAAATCATGAGTTGAAAAACGCTGACTCCGCGAGTTTAAATATTAGAGCCTCACACAGAGCGGAGCGGCGTGTTAGCAGCGCAGAACGCGCACTGGCGCCTACAAACCTAACGGGATACTTCACGCATTGCGCAACGCGTGAAGTATCCCGTTAGGTTTGTAGGCGCCTATGCGTGTGTCACGCTGGTTGTCTGCCGCGCCGCAACGCTTTAAGCAACTATTTCGCGTCAGAGGCGTTGCACAGTATCCTACATGATTGAAGGCGCACGAAATAACTAGTTGAAGAGGACTTTCAATTTTGACTGCGTCTGTTACTGAAAAATGTTTAATTTGGCATTGGAGCGTTTCCTAGGCTCCCGCTTTGGTTTTCATCTTATCATATCCGTACAGTGTACACATGAACATATGTTTTTATCTGCTCTTAGAGTCTGTTCTCTTTTATGACTTGATTCGTGAATGAAATGTTTTTAAGAATGAAGGAACTCTTCACCTCTTTTAATTTAAAAATCTAAACTTTCGTATATACTCCTATTTTCAAAATTCTCTGTAAAGACGTTAATAGCCTGTGACGTTGAACGTCTTAAAATATACTAACTAACTAACTAACTAACTAACACCTAAAATTGCGATTGTGTGTTTCCTTCGAAAATTTCACGGAAAACAAAAGAATAGTCATTTCTGGTCAAAAACAATATTTATAAATATAATTCATTCATTTCCTAGAGTTTGGAAAATTTCCACTTATTTTCTCGCATCATGAAAAATCACGACTGTCTCCCCATTCTATTCGCGTTATTCTACCAATACTACTCTCTCTCTCTCTCCCTCTTCCCCCTCTCTCTCTCTTAATTTTCTTATCCAGGCCTGAAAGTGAAATTAAAGAGACTTCCGCCAGATAAGATAGCAATTTACATGTTCCGAGTAGTAAATATTTTATTTCACGGCCAAGTTCCATTCTTTAATGTTTTTCTCGCCAAATATCAGCTGCGTTTTACCAATTTTTCTCAGACTAATCTGCTTCCCTTTCATACCCGACGAAATTATTATCAGTGATATCAAAATGTCATTGAACTAATTACATAGAATACAGCTCATAGTCACACTATGATTTTAAGATCATTTCAAATGTTTCTTACTTGATTTGGACTTTGATTTAGTGTAGTAAGACTCGTTCAGGCATTATTTAAAAAGATGCGTCACCCTCCCCTTATTGAAAAAAGTGTCCTCTATATTTATACGTCATTTAGACAAATTCACAAGCTCAGGGACTTTAGAGAATATAATATATATTAAGTAAAATTCGAAAAAAGAGTGAGTGATGATAAGCCCCAGTGGCGCACAGTGAATTGAGTCAATGGGAGAGGTCGGACAAAATTTGGAAACTTAAAAGCTCATAACTCCGTTCATACAAGGCTTTGAGCCTTAAAAATAGTTCCACTGTTTTTCTCGTAAAATTTTCTTCTAAAAGCACCCCTTGATATTTAAAATGTGACAAAATAAACATAAAATTTGCATTTTTAGTCAAAAATTTCATGTCCGACCTCTCTAATTGACTCCATCCACTGTGTGGCGTGACAAAAAATAAAGGGAATACTCTGGCCCGAGTCAGGAATTTTCAGAATTTATTTAAGTGTACATTTTATATTTCATCGTCTTGCATCCTCTCATAAAGCCCCTTCTTCTTTACTACCGGCAACACAATTAATGAATCGATGCAATTAAGGAAAAAACATGAACGTGATTTCAGAAAGAAAAACTGTCACGGCTGAAAAATCACCCGTAGAAACTCATGAGTAAAATTCCAAAAGCGCGAATGAAGTGCGTGAATTTGCGTGATTCTGATAAAAGCAAAGAGCCGTCCACGCAAATGATTGCCTTTGAAACTTGAAAAAAAAGACGATACAATTTGTTATCTATGGTGGAAATCTGATTGCAACGTAACAATATTTTTTAATTAGACGACAGAAGATAGTCTCTTTCTGGCGGACAAACCAGCACAAAAGTTAAATAAGTATGTTTGTGGCGGTTGTTTGAAAGCGCAAGGATACAAATGAAAGGGAAATTGAGAAAAAATATTTACTTATTGATTTCTGTCAACTCTTAAACTAGGATTTTATATGAGAAGCTTTAGGCCGGCTCCCTAGAAATACTTCGTCATTAAATCAAGTTTTTTGGTAAATATCTAAAAGCGCAATTGATTTATGATTCCGGTCTGCTGATGCTCCAATTCGATGACGCTGAAGCGATTATTAACGGAAAAATATATTTTATTAAAAACTTCGGGTCCTGCCAAATTGGCAATTAAGTTAAGGTGGAAGAGGGTGCAGAGCAAGTATGTGGGCTAAAGTATCTTCGTAAAATATAAACTATAGAATTAAAAAAGCTCCGTCATATTGGATACTCGCATTACGGCCCGTCGCATCACGCTGCGGGTGAAGCGTTGCGTGCTGGAGAGCCAAAACGCCTTCAACTGCGTGTGTATGCAACACGGACATCCGTAGAGTTCGAATAGTTGCATCCAGGCGTTGTAATGAGATTCGCACAAAGTTCGCAATGTAATACTGACTGAAGACGCTTTGTTGATTTCTCTTACATCTCAACTTAATTCTAGCGAAGATATTACCCTAACTAAACAAGTAAAAACCATAAACAAGAGGAAAACAGTGTACATTTTTCGGAGAGATAAATAGCTTAAGCGGGCGAGTATGGAACTCCAGAGCCGAAATGCCTCAGGTCCATTGCGTGAAGCAAATTAAAAGAGGAGGACCCAACAATTCCTAAATTCCTAAACCGTAAATTAAACAATTTTAAAATGCAAATAACACATTTTCCTCAATAATGATAAAATGTGGCCGGAAGTGTGCGTCATAGCTAATCGAGAGACAAGGTATTTTCACGCTTCTCCATAAAAGAGACCCCATCCATCTGACAAAGAGGCAGTTTCGGAAAATCGATTCTAATAAGACAATTGGTGTTAGTAAAGCGTGATAACGATTAATTTTTACATAGGAAAATGATAATTGGACCGAGTTTAACAGATAGGAACCAAGCCACATCAGCTATTGCCAAATTTAACCGGGCAATTAAATTTTTTACTTGAAAACGTTTGTGTAGATTCCTTTGAAATTTCTAGGGAATTTGCTTCATACTATGGAGATTTTTCACTGAAATTTGCACAAAAATCTGCGAAATCGTTTTCATGTTTAAAATTAAATTGCCCAATTAAATTTGACAATAGCTGATGAGGCTTGGTTCCTTTCTGTTTAAAGCGGTCCAAGTTGTCTCGGGTGTGGCGTAATCAACCAAGTCATCCGATTTTCTCATGGCCCGGTGCGATCATTTTGATGAGTTCAAATTTAGTGAAGGCAGAATTAGGGTTTAACGGACTGCAAAAGATGAAACTTCATTGATGAGAAGGGGACCGGCGTAGCGGTGCCCACACTCATAATGCCGTGGTAAGGAAGAACGTCGTATGAACATTCGAGAGTTGCCAGATTTCTTACGATAAAATCTTTATTTTTTAGGAAAATTGTGAATATTTTTCCTTGAAATTTTCAGACTATTTACATCAAATTACAAGCAATATTATCTTAGAAATTGGCAGAAAAATATTTAAAAATTTTCCTGAAAATTAGTGATTTGGCAACGCCTGAAGGTTCATACGACGTTTTTCCTTAGCACGGCAGCATAATCCAGCCAGCGCATCGGTGTAGCGTTGCCGAAAAAGAGAACGCATGCAAGTTGCATCGCGACAGACGGAAGGCGCGCGAGCGAGCTAGTAGATTGGGCCTGACGCCGGAGTGAAAAGAGAAAAGACCTTGACATTAGCGACGGAGCTGCGCGAATTTGAAGAGATTCGCGAATGCCGAGGATTGCGGGGCGGCGAGGTGCGCTGCGTTGATTACGTATGTATCCGTACACCTTGTCGAAATTGAAAACCAGTTTGGGAGAGTGCGTGTGAGGTTTTTGAATGCGAGACGCCCTCGGCCGGTGCGGCGCGGGCCGGCGCGGCGTGAAGGAGGCAGCCAGCCAACCAGCCAGCCAGCCAGCCAGCCAGCCCGCTGCCCAACTGCTCTTGTTTAGTCTAGGCTGACTGGTTCCTCCGGCGAAATTTGCAAGGTCTTTAGCCTCTACATTTCGGCAACCCCCGCCACCGCACCGCACCGCACCGCACCGCAGCGGAGCGGCGAGACATGAGCGGAGCGAGGATGAGACAAGCGAGACACTAAAAGAAGGAGGAAGAGGGGAGTCGTGCGAGTGGGCGAGAGAGACGGAGAGAGGAGGCGCGAGTGCGAGGAGGATGGAGAGAGAAAAAAAGGGAAAAAATTAAGCAAGATCAAGTTGGCTATGGTAAAGTTTGCACTCGTGCTGGCTGGGAAGAAAATCGTGCGTGAGCTATAGTGTTCACTGTTGGGGTTCTCCCACTACTGGGAGACTTAACACTCGCTTGACCACAGACAGATCTTGGTTGGCCTTTCGTCTGAACACATCTGTCGATAGCGGTGGTGCGGGTCCGGGTCCGCGCTCCGGCCGAAGAAATAAATCGCGCGTTTTTCTCGAGGAGCGGGAAATGGACGGAAAATCGAGGTTGGCTCGGATTTTCGCAGCTTTGATCGAACTCGAGTCTACGGAGTTCGAGTGTTCGCGTTGACTGTGTTGCGCCGGGTCTAGACTATCGAGAGCGCGGTGTGCACTCTGTATATCTGTTCCGTCTATAGAGAGAGATTCGGAAAAAAAAGAAGGAACGCTGCGCGAACTGCGAACTGCGACTGCCGTTCTGACAGAGTCAGAGTCAGTTTACCGGCAACGTTTCAGCGGGCCGGCTGATATTGTGTTTCGTCTGATGTGGGAGGTCATATTCATTTTCATGTAGCAAGGTAATTTTACTCTCATTACTCACAACTTTTACACTCTTTTTACGCTTCAAATCCGCATTCGTTCGCCATATATTTTCTCTCACATTCTTCGATGTGCTTTTGTGTTATCAATTCGCTCCGTGCTCGCACTTGTCTTCTCGCGAAAATAGTGATTTTAGGTCATAAATTACCGTCGGTGCAGTAGTCGCTATGGGAGGCCCCAAGTTTTTCGACACTCCGAAATGACATTTTGGCAAAATTCCTCTCGTTTTATCAGTTCGTTTGCCTCACTTTGTTTTACTCAGTCGCCGTGGCAATGATTTTGGTGAAAATAATTTTTAGTTTATTGATTAAATAGTTTTTCAATCGGTGATAAGCTCAGTGAAAAAATGCTAGTGACTAGTGATTTTGATAACCTACTGGCCTAGTGTCTTAGATCATCTGTTCCGAGTCGAGCGCTGCAGTGTCACCTACCTATCCTTGCAAAATTATTAGTCCTCTAAAATCTCGCTACTTCACCTTTCTTTTTTTTCATGTTCTTTCCCCGATGCCAATTCAAGCGACGTGCTTCCCTATCTCTCGTTTCATATCTCCTATTCTATTCACCAATACACACGTGTCATAAAGTTTCTCCGATACTTTGCGGTAAAAATAGCATTTGATGAAGTTGGTAACCTTGTCCTATTCTTAAAGTTATTTTTTGCAAATTCCAAATCCTTGCACCAAACATAGTTCCCCTCACAATCATTACATTTTAAATCATTCAAATTCCGTTTCTTTGTATTTTTTAGTTCCATTCATTTTACTTACGTACTCTCCGAGCATGATTATAAGAAGAGTACCTAAATCAATAAATGCTGCCATTAGTGGAATAAAGGCGTTCTCCAAATCCTGCTCTTCAATGTAGACTACTGCTCGTTTTCCAAAAATTTCTTTTGAGTTTTTTTGTAGGCATAAGTAACATGTATCTCTTCACTCATTCATGGTAATTTTCTCTTCCAATTTTACATAAACCTCTCTTTTTGGTGGCGACTCAAATATTATCCTAGTTTTTTCCCCCAGATATTTTTTTCTTAAAAAATGAAAAAATAAAAAATAGAAAAAAACAAAAAACGGTAAAAAAGAAATCATACACAAAAAACTTAACGAACCGAAAATACGTGTAGAACCAAATTATTTTAGTATGGACCGATCGAAAACGAAAACATGAAAAAATTGTCACGTTGATAATGAATTCTCACACACTTGATATTTTACAGTTAAACTGATCAACACCTATAAATATGTTTCTCTCTTTATTCTTTCCTCCCTCTCAATTCCGGTTTATTCTTTCCGTGATCCTACTTTTTCATGGTAAAAAATAATTTTATTCAAGGCATGAAATAAAGGCATGAAGCATTAGGGATAAGATTTTTTTTTCATGCTTTTTGTTTGTAGTGCACTATACTTTGTGATTCCACCGAGTAAGAGGTAAAAATGATTCCGCAACATAGGCCCTTCTTATATTTGCACGGACAGAAAGGCCTCATTTTCTACGTGAACATCACGTCATAGTTTGCATTGCAGAGGCAGTGTTATTAAGAATATTTTTAAGAACCGGTCCTTTATCTCATCGGGAGACTTCTGCATTTTTGGAACCTCCTCTTATTACATTTCCAAAAAGCTGAGGTTTTCGGTAATCGTACTTTTCAAAATATAAAAAAAAGGGTGCAATTGTTCCTGGAATCTGAATTATGAATATGTTTCAAGCCCCGAAAAAAGGAATAAATAAAAGTTATAAATTTATACAACAAATGACAGACCTGATTTTGAAGGTGCAAAATGAGGACCTTTTTATATGTATTAAAACTTAGACAATGAAATTTCCACAAATTTTTAACAATGCCTATTTCGTAATTTCCAAGTTTCCGGACCGTGATAAAGCTACTTTTGATTTTTTTCTGTTTTAAATAAAAAAAGTGAAAAACCTTTTTAAAATGAATGCTATAGATTCTTATCAAATCCACCAGTCTCATTTCTTTTCTTCCTTGTGTTTACTTTTTCCAGTCATTATTCAAAGTCTCAATATTTTTCTTTACATTTCTTTCATTTCCAACATCCTTCACGTGAATTATGTCTAGTGCTTTATTAGAAAAATTAGGTACATTTTATCAAACAAGGTCAACAAGTTAATCGACATTTTTTTAGTTTTTTGATTTGAGGTCGGATTGTAGAACAAAAACGATCATTTGCTCTCTTGAAGTCGTTATGGGGTTTATTTAGTTTTATCGATGGATACCTTCATTTTAGTCCGTCACATCGCATTTGATTCTGAAACTAAATATAATCTCTACCGAAAAAGAATGAAGGGAACTAAAGGAGGGAGTACTCGTTAACTTTTCCAACGGACACCAATACTCCATGAACTCAATGGAACAAACCCGGAAGGAAATTTTGCATACAAGAGAAGAAAATCCACGGTTGACCGCATCTTAGCTATTATTCAAAATTATTATTCTTATATTTCTTGTCCTTTCCTCTAATTTTTCAGTTGTGATGTAGAGACAGTAGAGAGGAAGACTTTTTTTTATCGCACTAACACAGGCATGATTGAGCATCACGAATGCCTCTCTTGACTTTTTCAGCTTATAATTTCGCAGTTCCATTAATGAGAAGACACGTTAAAAAATCATTTTTGATAGTGCTAGCACGGGAGGGATTAAAAAACGTGCGTGTCATCTTGACTTTTGCAGGATATGTAATTTTCTAACATTTGTTACTTCCACGAAAACTCACCATTGAGCATCATTCTTTCTCAAAAACATTTCAAAAGCCTATTTTTCGCCCTTTCAAGAAGTGTAATATCCATGATTTTTTTACAAATGTTATCGCTACTTTATTTTTTGATAAGTATGCACCGTATATGCGTATAAAATTTTAAAAAATCACCATTGAAATCAAGATTCATTTCTTCTAATTTTCACATCTTGAAGATTTAAAGAATGAAGCGAATCTCTCGTGTTATTGCTCCAGTAGGTCTACTATCAATAGATAGTTACATATAATGAAAACTCAAGGGTTTTTGGAATCTCTTTAGATGTCACAGGATTTTTACGGAATTCTAAAATGATGATCTTGATTCACGATGATCAAGAGTGCGCACTAAGCTTCATCCCCTCAATCTACAAGATTTCCCGTGAATAGGATTTCCCGTTTGGTACTTAATGAGGATCTTATCGCAATTCTTTTTTTTCATTATTTTTGTTACAAAATTTGAAATTTTAAGGTAATTTACAGTATTTTTGAAAATTTGACTCGTACGTCGTGCTAAAGGCTATTATTGCATTTTCTTGAAAATTGCTAAAAAAATAGTAAACTGTGTCTGTCGGGACAGGCGTGCATTTTTCCCTTATTCTTTTCCGATTTGTAGAATCTGATTAATTTGTCGGTCTTGAATCGCCGTTGTTGTCTGCTAAGTTTCAAAATTCACATTTTAAATCAGCGAGTGATTCTAGTCATAAAAATTGGTCATAGAATTATTCTAAAAAGTAACTTTTTATAGCAGTTGAACTTGAAACCTTATACATCCCATCCTCGATTAGGTACCCCGTAGCATCCTATTCTTAAGGGGAAGGGAAGGAAGTTTCAAGAGGTGTCTCAGACAGTGGCGTGGCGTGCTTTGCGATACATCGATTGATCTGTCGTTTAAATCTGTGTACAACGATCGATTATCAAGGTGTTCGCAACGAACACCATGATAATCGATTCTTTACTACAGCTTCAAATGGAGAAATATCGATAATCGATCCTTCACGCCACGCCACTGGTCTCAGTGCCTCATTCTTTTTACCTATGACGTCGAATCTAAAAATAAGTCAATATATATGCCTTGACTTCCCTGAGACAAGCCTTTCCTTCTCTTTTTTTCTTGCCTTTAAGCAATCATTTTCTCGCAAGGAACGGATAAACGAGATTCTCAAGGGGAAACAACACACGCTTTGTATATTTAATTTTTTTAAATTAAAGAGCGGTTCCGAATTGCATACCGAATTTTCTCTCACTATTAAATTCCTTAAATTGCTCCAACTTTTTGTACATTAATTTTGGATTTTCCAAACCTTTGACATCCAAAGAGGAGGACAGTAACCTAAATCAAAAATTTTAAATTTAATGGGATAAGGCAACATTTTAACGAGGATTTCCATGATCCGAATATATGTGGGATCTAAGCCTTTAAGGATCCGAAAAAGTGCGATCTCGTTGAATGGGAAAAAATAAATTCTGGAAGGATATTTTTTAGGATATGATTATTTCCGAAAATCCTCTGATGTATCATATTTTCCGATAAACCAAGATGAAGTATTCATATAGATTTAATAGGTAGCGTGTCCTCAGTTTCCAATTAAACTTTTGTCTCAATTTATCATTAGAGGCAAAAAATACAATTTAAAGTATTCTATTCTGGGTAATATATTTCCCTGAAACTTAAAAAAGTTTTCTCACACGATAAGTCAACTACTTATACGAATGGAATCTGAGCCTCATTCACGGCCTTGCTTCTTTTTAATATTATTCATTTTATCTCAAGTATTTGGGAGGTATTCAATTTTTATACATAAAACCACACATACTTATATTCATGGCGAAACAGTTTAGCACTCATGTTTAGAGGGGTAGTTCCAATAGGATCAGCTAGATTTTGAGCATATATCAAGCCTGCCTTGTCTGAATCAGTGTCTGGTCCTCCGACTCAAAAAAAACTCTGACCCCGGAAGTTGTATTTACGAGCTACATAAACACACCGTCCGTATCGAGTCCAGAGTTCGAAAGTTCCAGATGCAGCACCCGTTGCTCCATCCTCTGCACCCGGAGCAGTAGAAACTACGGCTACAGCAGCCGAAACTTTCGGTCTCTGAACCCGGAACGGAGGGTAAGTCTATTCAGCCCGGAAGCACGGCTTCCACGGCCCGAGTTCTTTCTTTCAGTGCAAGGCTGGTCCGTACCCGAAATCGATGCGATGCAATTCTAGGACTCAGTCTGCGATTGGTTTATTCCCAAGTTATGTATTTGACAGGACGCGTACCCTAAAAGCTACAGGCTATTTGATGTTAAGCATTGAACGTGCGCTTGATCTTGGATCGTTACTAATTATTTTTGGTGGATGTTACAGGGTGAGTCACAGACATGGGAAGTGAGCATTATTGTCTCAGGTGGAATAATCATCAGAACAACTTACTTGGAGTGTTCAGTCAACTTCTTCAAGACGAAAGCCTTGTGGATGTCACTCTCGCTTGCTCCGAAGGTCACTCAATTCGAGCTCATAAAGTTGTACTTTCGGCGTGTTCATCGTACTTTCAATCCCTGTTCATCGACCATCCTAATCGCCACCCTATCGTGATCTTGAAAGACGTGTGTTTTGCTGAATTGCGAACTCTAGTTGAGTTTATGTATCGTGGAGAAGTGAATGTTGAATATTGTCAGTTATCTACTTTGCTCAAGACTGCCGAAAGCTTAAAAGTTAAGGGTCTTGCCGAGATGACTCACCTAAGTACCTCACCTTCGTCCGAAGGCCAAAGAGACAGCATGAACGGAACTCTATCGGAACCTCCGCCTCAACCCTCAAGTTCTCTGCCGCCCCCATCTTCACCCTTAGCTAAACAAACTATGTCCACGGACCCAGTTAATCCCGAATCAATTTCCATTAAAAAGTTAGCCAGTGAAGATAGTTCACCGCCACCTGTAGATACTCATTGTGGAGATAGAAGTCCGTCTCCTGATGCCGATGATGTGTCATCTGTACAAAGTGGGCCCAGTGATATGACCCTTGGTAGTCGCCTCCCCTCCCCCCACAGCAGTGAGCCAATGCCCGGCCCGTCTGGTCTACCTCCAGTTCAGCAAGTACCTCTGGTAAGTCACAAAACTTTCTTCTTTTTCAAATATTTCTCACATTTCTACAAAAATCACTATTCCTCTTGTTTAAACGACCTCCGTCAATTCATTGGAACCTCTTATCACATTCAGTCAGATATCCATCCACTAAAGTCCATGGTGAATCTGGAAAATCCTCTCATTCCATCCCATTTTTCCAAAGTATGCTCCTCATTTTACTTTTTTTATTCATGAGAGCTCGTATCTCCCAATATTCGTCTCGATAAAGAATGGAGAAATAATGAGAATTTTTTACGATAAAATTTGCTCCATCAAAATGAATTGTCGGAGGAGCAGGAAGTTTTCCACTTTCCGAAGCGGAATACCTACTCAATTTTCGCGCCTCATCATTTTCCAATATCTTCCGTGTAATTTTGAGAGAGAGCGTCGAGGTTCTTTTGGGTTTCTCTAAGGAATCCTCAATCTTAATGGAGTCCTCGTTTGCTATCTTACACTGATTTGGTGTAGGTTGGTGATTGGGGAAGGGTGGTGAGGGCATGGTTTCACAACGGGATTTTTTTGTCGCTCCTACATCTCCTCCAACAAATGGATTTTTTTAAAACTTGTCAGTATTTTTAATCAATCGGAGTAAGATCTATGATGCAGTCAAATTTGGGGACGCTTTGCTTCCTTGGCATGCATTTTGCCCATTTTTAAAATCTTGGCTACGGTCTCATCCTTTTAGGTGTTTCCCATTCGACAGAATATAGCCGTGCACCTACTCGAGGAAGAGAATAAATGGAGAAAATTTGGTTTCAACTTATTTTTCACCTCGACGTTCTCTTACTAGGCGGCGGCTGGCAGAGAGCAGCGTGAATAAAAAGTTGAAACTGTATTGCTGAGAATTAGGAGAGATAACCAAAGCAGCTCTGGTTACTTTAGTGTCTCGTTTCCATGACTCAGCTTTGGTGCATAACTGTTCAAAGAGGCTAAACGCACTGTTTTGAAATATCCGCAAAATTCTGCAGACGAATTATTGATTCAACGGTCTGCCGGTAAATTTAGGCAGGTAACGCAACGAAACTAGGTCGTAACTAAGCGAGGCAGCGCAGAATTTGTCACTTTTTACGATCGGCTACTTTTCATTTATCGTTCTGCTCGCATGGCACGCAATTTTGCCGGCCACTCATTGCGAACCGCTGCGCCCTGCGCCGAGCGCCAACTTCGCAAGTCCATTCTAATTGGACGGGCTTTTCTTTGGTCTCGCTATCGACCCATCGTCGGCCGAGCTTCTGAGTCTAATAACAGAAAACAACCCTTCATGACGTTAGAGCGGTAGAATAAGGCGAAGTGCACAATAAAACAGGAGCAAAATAAGGAAATGCATTTGCAGGTCAGATACGGGCAATACCTACTGATTTCCCATCAAGCATCGCACTTTTATCATTGAACAAATGTCCAACACGATTTTTATCATTTAAGTTTATTTATTCGTTTTTGCCCCTTTTAAATTTCAACACACAATATTATCCGTCTCCATAAGAAGTAAAAGTTAATACATCAACCTTTAAAACACAATTCAGTCAAAATCAATATCAACAACTACTAATTCCAAGGCTGCGTATCTCGGACTGCGATGAAACAAATCGCCGCTCGTGTTTCATTTTTTTCTTCCACTTTTCTTTCAAGGAAAAATAAACTTTTTTCCGGGCCTAAACACGCGAAATTAAAACATTGTTCTCCAAATATTTGTGTGAATTTCTTCTCTCATTCAAAAATATTCAAATAACATTTTTTCAAGGATTTAATAATTTCAGTTCGTTTGCTTGAAAAAACAGACGCAATCGGATATTTTTGAACTTATAATGGAGATCTTAACTTCCGCCGTATATTTCATGTATCTTTACGAGCAAATGCACTTTTTAGAGGATCTGAAAGACTTATACGGGTGGATCAAAATCGTGTCAAGAGCATGTTACCTAGCTGTTTCCGTTGAAAAAAGAAACAACAGAGGCTGGCGACAATAATTGGACTACATTTTGCAATTAGAAACGACAATTTATGGCTTATCCGAGTAGGCACTTATGTGTAAAAGGATGCTAATAGTACATGCGTTGTTTTTAAACTGAGCCTGAAATTGTAGTTCCTCATTGAAAAATGTAGTCCGATTGTCAAGCAAGTATATACGTAAATGAATCCTCGTAAAATTTTGAATTTCCTCTCATCACTGCCCTAGAGGTCAATTCTTTAAACTTGTTCAGTTTGGAGTCTTTCTATTCTCTCTTATTTCACTTTGCCATCGGTGAAAGTAACTTTAAAAGAGCCGATGCGTCCAGTGCAAAATTGTCGCTACGCTCTAATCTTTCAAGTGGAAATTCTGAGTATCCTGCTTGTCTGAACATAGTCGCCATTTATTTAAAAAAAATGGCAATATATATTTGGACAGACTTCTCAAAACTGTCACCTAATCGACCCGTTCCAATATAGCTTTTTTCACATGCATGCCTTCCGCACGCACGTCTCTAGACCGGGGTTCTCTTCATTTGCGGAATTACTGAGTTAACGGCAACATCTTATCAAACGTCGACATTGCATATCAAAACCGTTGGTGCGCTGTTTCGAATCTTAGACCACACAAACTCGCCTGCTATGATATGCTGTTGCGGCCAAGAGTTTCCATAAGAGCTGCAATTATTGTTTTCACCGGCTCAAGTGTTTATTTTTCCACTCAGGCAGCACTCATCGATGCTAGCGGCTTTGCAACAGTGTTGCGGTCGAGGGTCGTTTTCGAAAAGACTTTTTCGCACGGACGTTGCGATGTGTCTTAGGTTTGGCAGAACTTCTAATTTTTGTCGTCTTAAAAGTGCCAATGTTTGATGCCTCGAAGGGAAAAAACCATAATGGCAAGAAAATGTATTAGTCTTAGAGAAAAAAATAATGGAGGATGGACAGGTCTCTTTCGCGTGAAATTTTTCATGTACAATAATTATTGTGCCAACCACATTCATAGATTATCTTTTAAAAGCTTTAAATTGAGGAGTCTCTGCTCCTTCAATTCAAATTAGGTGACAAAAATCAGTAAGAGTAATAATCACAGTTAATGAATTAAAATTTGAGAGGAATATTGGTATAAGATTGCCGTTAGAATTTCTTAAAATTTTGAGGGTAGAGGCATTAAACCTACGCCCTGCCCCCTTTCCCTTATTTTTTAGAGTGAAGTTAGTTTGTAAATTCTTAATTTGATAAATGATACTCAAACAAAGCCGAAGATCCATATTTTTCACCATCAATAATGCCAAAGTTTATTTAGCACCCGAAATTCTCTAATACGTTTCTCATGCTTTGATCTCTTATGATTTTTTTTTCTTTCCCTCTTTTTTCTCGTTCCTCGTGGTTTTCACGGATTTTAGCTAAAAATCTCACTACTTATCACGGCATCTCAAAAGAAGAAAATTAAGACACCTATCGTGTAAATTTTACAGAAGTTGATATCATCTTTGGTTTAAAAAATCGTGCATAAAATACACTTTGTTTTTTATTTCAAAATTTTTCATGAATTATTTCAAACTTCAGCCCAGAAAATGGTTGCAATTTATATTCTTGAAAAGAGAAAAAGAAAATCAACATTCGTAATTACTCTCAGATGGGATAAGAAAATGTGTTCTCCCTTTTTTTAAACAAAATTTGTATCCCCTCTCCTCTCCTCCGCCCATAATTTTGTCCTATCTTTGTTGTTTAAAACAGGAGGTTCGGGAAGCAATATTCCCATGCCTGGCTCCATAACATTTCAATTTTGTTTCTCAGAGCAATCAGTCCTGTTTTTTTCTTTGAGTCGAATCTTACTCGAGTTTTGGGATACCCGAATGAACGTTAACAACATGCACAATCCTCTCTCTCTTTCTCAGAGGATAAGGTGTAACAACGAACGCACCTATGTTTCCGTTACAACACACTTGGTTCATTCCACCTTTTAGATACATTTTTCACTTACGTTCAGGTGCTGTGGTTTCCTCAACAAAAAGGAGCATAGTAAGAAGAGAGATCATGGGAATAAAGGGAAGTCAGCAAAATTTTAGTCGATCGCGTGTCTGCTCTGAAGTGCGAATCTGATGTAAGTCGAAACTGCGCGAATAGTGGAAAAAGCAAAGCTGGAAAGATGGAGAAAAAATTAGAAACTTAGCAGTTTGCATTCTTGTTAATGTAAGATGTTTTTTGCTGGCGTCACCGCTTTCCAATCGACCAATACGAAAACATTTCGGTACGCGTGCTTGAATTTTCGCTGTGGTTTTCGCATACTATCGCAAGTTGACTTCAGAGACCAACGAAGAGGGAGTACGCGATGATGAACTCAAAGAATAACCCTTATTACATAAAAAAACCGCCCAGCGTCACGTGGAGTGGAAAATAACGCAGACGGTATTTTTTCGGGGCTCAGTCATTTCACATTTAGGGTCCTTGCATTTTAAAATTAAACCGGTTCCTTTTTAAGGATGAGTGGGATTTAAGATGAATACGTTGACTTGCTCGTCTCAGCTCGTCATTCATCTTGCTTCTATCGAAATGTACACGTAATTCTACCTACTAGTGTGAAGTCCTAAGAGAGCCATAAGAAACTATTGCAATGCCAAAATACCGGAGGGAGCCGCCTTCATAGCTCTCATAATAATGAGTATTTGAATGACTTATTGCTGATTTTCTCTTTCAAGTTGTTCTTTAATGATTGAAATAACCGATTTCATGACGCATCAACTGCACTCACTATAGCTAACTATGACTTAATTCAAGTGACTTAAATGCACCTGTTACCCAATAAAGGCGGTATAGCTTAAGCCCAATATGAAGACTCATAATTTGTGGCAGGTCTTGCTTTGAACATTATTAAGTGCACATGCGAGGAAGCTCTCACGCGTACTTAATGATCTTAAAATTTCAAAAAAATGTCTAAGAGGAGATTGTGATACAATTATTATAAAGAGAGTAAAATCGAGTAAATATGAGGTAACGTAGGGGACACAGGAATGTTCTGACTTGAAAATCTG